AGTTAGAACACTACCATAACATCAAACTAGAGGTATTCCTAAACCTACATATGAACTTGAACTTTCAAGTAGAGTCAAATACCCCATGAGTCATTTTGTGTACCATCATTTGATTGAATCAAATATGTCATTTGTAAATCAATTATCTAATATATCTATTCCTAACAGTGTGTAGGAAGCCTTAACCTATCCAAGGTGGAACCATGAATGGAGAGATAAAATCATTGTTAAAAAATAAGACATGAGAGCTGGTTGATTGTCCACCTGAAAAAAAGCCAGTTGGGTGTTGCTGGATCTTTACTGTAAAGTATAAAGAAAATGGTACAAATGAGCATTTTAAAGCAAGACTGGTGGAAAAAGAATACACTCAAACCTATGAGATTGATTATATAGAGACATTTGCACCAGTAGCAAAACTCAACATAGTCTGAATCTTGTTATTTCTAGCCAAGAACTTGGATTGGCCATTACAACAGTTTGATGCAAAGAACACCTTCCTACAAGGTGAGTTGTCTGAATAAGTCTACATAGATCTCCTACTAGGATGTATGATACCAGAAATACACCCAGAAATACACAGCCAAAAGGTGTGTAGATTAAAGAAATCATTATATGGATTGAAACAGTTTTCAAAAGCATGGTTTGGAAGATTCACAAAATCTATGATAGACTTTGGCTACCACCAAAGTAATTCAGATCACACATTATTCTTGAAGAGAAACCAGGATAAGATCACCACATTAATTGTGCATGTAAATGACATGGTCGTTACAAGAAATGATCCTGAGGAGAGGAAGAATTTACAGCATACCTTGTCCAAAGAATTCGAAATGAAGGATCTTGTCCCCTTGAAATATTTTCTTGGAATTGAAGTGTTTAGATCTAGAAAGGGTATCTTCCTTTCTGAAAGAAAATATATCTTAGATTTATATAAGAGACTGGTATGTCATCATGTCAACCAGCTGATACACTAGTGAAAGAAGGTTTGAAATTATATGTTGATCCTAATTAGATAACAGTTGATAAAAGCAGGTACCAAAGACTTGTAGGAAGATTGATATACTTGGCGCACACAAGGCTAGATCTTGAATATGCATTGAGTATTATCAGTCAATTTATGCATAATCCTGAAGAGCAACATATGAATGCAGTTATGTGAAATTTGAGGTGTTTAAAGGCTGCTCTTGGAAAAAGAATATTATTCATAAAGAATACAGATTGTCAAAATATAAATACATATACTGATGCTGACTAGGCTGGATCAATAGATGACAAACGATCTACTTTATGTATTTTACCTTTGTAGGTGGCAATCTTGTTACATGCAGAAGCAAAAAAACAAAATGTAGTAGTATGTTCTAGTGTAAAAGCAGAATTCAGAGATATGTCTCTCGGAATTTGTGAAGCATTATGGCTAAGACTCCTCTTAAGCGATCTGAGCTATCCTCTTAAGCAACTAATTCAATTATATTATGACAATAAAGCAGCATGTGACATTGCTCATAATCCAGTTCAACATGATCGTACCAAGCATGTGGAGGTAGATAGATTCTGCATCAAAGAAAAGTTGGACGAGAAAATCATGGAGTTACCAAAAATTCATACTGATAATCAATTAGTCGATATCCTAACCAAGGCAGTTTCAAAGCAAGTGTTCTCAAAGTTCCTAGATAAGTTGGGCACGTGTGATATCTATACACCAACTTGAGGGGAAATGTTGAAATATTATGATTCTTTCCTCCTTTACAGGATTCTTTATAATTCTTTCATGTTCTGTAGATTTCCTTTTCTGCAAGGTTTTTTCCTCCAGTGATGCTTCTTGTCTTACCTTTATTAATATTAATGTATACGGTAGGATAGATTGATTATAAGAATAATACTATTTCTTTCCTAATTATAGGAGCAATATTATAGGCAGAATAGCTTAATTGTAGGATCAAAGTACTGTATACATGTGTGTGTATTCTTCATTAAAAAATAAAAGAATAAAATACTCTTCTTTATATTTGATTGACATACAATCATCCCAAGAAATTTCCATATTGATAGATTGCCTTCCGATATTTTACTATGAGCCATTTTAGAAGTTTATTAACTAACACTTTTACTAGGTACTGAAGGCTCCTCCTTGTGTAGTTGCAAAAAAGAAAATTCTTTGCCGGCTTAATAGAAAACAAAAGTACAAAATCATTTGAACTCTAGCGCTTTGTGAGGAAAGAAGGTGGTAGATAAACTCCTTTACAACACCAAAAGGTGGAGAATAAGGTTTAAATGACTGTGATGCTGTTATGCTCTTATGGTAACTCCAGTATTAAATGAAATGAAATTGTAGGATGTTTGCAAATCCAACTGAATGTGCCAAAAGGTGCAGTTATAGAATAGCTCGCTTCACACTAACCTCTACAAATGCAAAAAATAAGTTGTACCACAGAGATAAAATAGTTATAAGACCAATTTGAACCACGTTCAAGACTCAAGTAGATAGCATAGACCTACACAATATATTACTGCTCAAGGCAGCCCCTCATACAATGAAGAACAAAAGGATATCCATATGTTTCATGGATGTCAAGAATAATGAGATATCCCCAGAATTTGACTTTAGGCTCCATAATTCTACCCAGAAAATTTACTACCAGCATCAAATCACATATTACACTTCAATTAATCTTATGATGAATTACTTTCCTGCAAAGACCTTTTACTGAAGAATCTGACTTAACTCACGAGATAGCATAACCTCATAAGTTTCCACAATATCTTAGGTGTTGCTTTGGGATAAGTGTACCCAAGTTCAAACCTAATGGTAAGACTACAAGGAAAGTTTTAGTTTTAATGTATAATCAAAATGGTTGACTACAGAAAACAACAAACATTGCAGTTCAGTGTAAAAGAAATAGGTGCCTGTGCATCCTAAATTTACATCATTCATAGCTGTGAGTCATGTTTATTAAAATGCAATAAAGAATTACTGCTAAGAACATGCTTGCTTTAATGAATCACAGACATTGGCATTACGATAGTGAATCTGTGTGGATTGGGGGTTATGCTGCATCAAGATATTTGGCTTGAGCATCATAATTGTTCTCCCTGGAAATGTTCATAGACGAAAAAGGGAATGGGGAGTGTATGTGCCAAGGTTGTTCCTGATCACTCAAAATTCATGTCCATATGCAAAATAGATATCAGAGGGACTGTTTGTGTGTCAATGTCCAAAGAGCGCCATGATTATTAGGCCTAAGTATCATGCATCATGAAGAGGGATAAGCAGCTCCAGATGTTCAAACAAACAATTAAATGGTCAAAATTAGGAAAAACAGTTACCAGCAGCAGCAACAAAATCCCGCTAATTTGTTATTTTATTGCAATATATAAGTAGATAAGTGATGCAAGTGGTTATGATCAATCAATTACAAATCAGTCATAACTAGGCTAAGTAGATAGCCTTGCATGAATATTTATGAACTAATATAATAGAGCTAAGCCCAAGAAAAGACATGAGTTGTGCAAAGTAATCAACCTAACAAAAAAACATATAACTTTTTATTCAATTATTGAATCGCGCTCAAATTTAGCTTAGAGAGTCATTTGGGTAAGAATTTGTTAGTAGAACAACCTGATGAGGTGATGGGGAGGCAAGTGATCTATGATGATTCAGATGACAATGAGGAGGTTTCGCAAGATGATGGCAATGATACCTTAGTCATCCAACAGAGCTTGCCTGCTCCTAATCGTGGTGCATTTGAGGATTGAATATGCACTAGCCTCTTCCATTTAATTTCATTTAATTTGTAAGGTGTGTAGCCTTACATAAACAATACTATTTTTGGGAATGTAGTGTCAGTTGAGATAATAGAGAGTTGTGACTCAAGATAGAAAAACACCTCAAGCCCTACAAACTATACAGACTGAATCGAGTGTGAACAAACACTATCTTGTTTTGTTTTCCATATCCAAAAGATATTTTGATAGTGTTCTGCATGACGCAATATCTATGGATGCACGTCATTTATCATTAGACGGACCATGACAATATAACATGAATGTCATACATTATAGACAACATAACATTCATACCCTTAATACAAAAAGGAAGCATATAGCATTGGCACACGAGAGAGAAATGGTAGTTATTTAGAGCAAGGGTGAAAATATATTGTTTTTATCCCAATTTATGGAATAGAAAAGGGATAGCGTCGAGAATCAAAATGATTTGAGAAAGGGTACAACGTGGAACATGTTGTTGACAACTAATAATAGTTTTGTAAAGATTAGGAGTGGTATGAAGATTGATTCTTGGTTTACTTTATCTAAGTTGACTAATTGTATAGTGCCAGCACACCCTTTGTCAATGGAGCGCAAGGGTGCCAATGTTGCTTTTAATGGTTGATAACAATGACAATGTTGTTGGAAGAATGATTAGAACTCGAGAACAAGTTCTTTTCAACCTGAGGAAATTGACACAAGATATTCTAATCATTCAGTTCCGGATCTGCCATGATTGGATTACGTGGATAGCCTTGCAAAGATATTTAAGAATTGATGAAATAGGACTAAGCCTGATAAGAGACTTGGGTTGTGCAAAATGATCGGTCTAGTAAAAATGACCTATAACTTTCAACTCAAGAACATGCTCAAATTTGACCAGGAGGGTCCAAATGCCCAGCCTCACACAAAGGTCTAAAGACCCAGCCTCACAGGAGGGTCGGTTGGCTGTAACCACTCGAGGCTCGAAACACCTAAAAATTAGATCTAAAACATGTTGTTCAGCCCCTTTTTTTTCCTTTAATTTTAGATTTCTTAGTTTATTTAGGACTTTCATTATTTTTCCTTTTTAATTAGGACTTTTTAGTTTCCAACCCTATTTAGGTAGATTTTTGGGTTTATTTAGGAGTTGTAAACCTTTTAGAGAGATAGAATACTTAAAGAGAAATATATAGCACTAAAAATTCAAATTAGAATTTGTGTGTGGAGACCCTTTTTGACATGATTTTGTGTTCTTGTGCTTGTTGTCTTTCTTTTGTTATTTCTGACTACTGCAGTCCCATAGTTTATAAGTTAAATCATGTGAGGCAACACCGCCATGGTCTAAATGCATACTTTACTTGAGTCCAAGACTATCACGGTTAGACAAAAAAACCAAGGCACCAGAAACCACATTTGCTCACTCACACACGAACAGGATTTAGCATCAGAATCAATAACAAGATCCAAACAAAAAGTGTCCTAGGATGCAATTTAAAAGAGTAAATTGTACTCTGACATTGTTTGATTTGCGAGAATTATAGAAGTAAATATAATCATTAGCGCATCGTGTACCTCATATTACAAGGAAAAAAAATGAGAACCTAGGAAATTGAAAACCAGTTACATTTCAAGCAATAGCCGAAACTCCAAAGAAACAAAAGCAAGTTGTACAGAAAATCTGCTATTGAAATCCTTCAAAATGTGGTTAGGACAAATGTTCTTAGATGGAGGAAGAAATTTCCAGTCATTAGCTGAATATTTCAGAATTATTAGGGGAAACATAGAAGAATCACCAATATGAACAACAATATAGAATTTCAAGACCCATTAGGCCAACCTAACAAGAAATCAGTTGAATAGGTTAAGTGATCTTGGTGCTTGACTTTGACTAAATTTTTAGTTTGCTTTCTTTTCCATTTAGCTTGTACTCTGTTCACTTTTTCTACTTCCTGTTTTTTTTTTTTTTTTTTTCAATTTGATATCAATGTATATATATAAATCAGTGGCTGATACTGATCTTCATAATTGAAAATCCCCCATCGGCCATTTTTAGACTACTTTAAGAGAACAGAATAGCAGTTACCAATTCCATAGTTTTTAAGGTTATCAGATTCTGATTGATTGGATTTTTGGCTCCCAAAAACAGAAGGAATGAGCAGAAAAAGATCTGGATATTTACTCAGCACCTAGGGGATAAGAGCAAAATCAACCACCAATTCCAGATCTCACATATTCAAGTTGAAATTCAATCTAATTATGCTGTTCATGTACAAATCACAAACCAAATATTCAAAACCATCCAAGCTATCATGACTCCTATCAATCTGCACCATAAGAATTAGCGAGAGAGGGGAAAATACTCATCTTTGCACAGTCTGGAACCTAACAAGAAATCCAAAGTCCCATTTACAAAATGGCGTATAAACAAACCAAGACAGAAACCCAGCAATTTAGACAAAGGGGGTGACGAAAACAGTAAACGAAATCAAGATGCACGCATCAATTCAAAAAAGAACAAAACGGTGAAAAGGGCAAAAAGGCATAAAAAGAAAACATCAAAAGAAACACAGATTAATGAAACAAACAAGAGGAGAACTTGATGAGAAGAAGAAGATTACCATAGACATTGGTATTGAAAGTGTTTTGCATAGCAGATAAAGGGACCTCAGCAAGAGGGCCAACACATTGAATTCCAGCATTGTTAACCAAAATATCCACTCTACCATATCTTTCAACAACGTCTGACACAACATGCTGCACACTTTCATCTGACAAAACATCCAATTCTTGGAGATAAAATCTCTTATCTTGATCAAAGTCTCTCATGGAAATCAAAGACCTGGCTGTGGCCACAACAAGGCAGTTGTTGTTAGCAAATTCACGAGCCAAGGCATGGCCTATACCTCCCTGACTGCAACCAGTGATTAGAACCACTTGTTGGCCATAAGATTCCATTGAATTACTACTCATTTGGGTGGTTTTTCTGATAGGTAGCAGGCTTTGGCAGTTCAAAAACTTAGATTGAAAAGGACAGATTTTGAGGGCATTTATAGGAAGTGAATGAGAAGTACAGGTGTGTCTTCGTTGTTTGCAGAATGTGAAGTAAATAAGGCTGCCATTTTTAAGCGGCTTTTATTTTTACATATATTATCAATTTTTTCGAAGTGAGTCAGTGTGTCCTTTCTGACAGTTGATACGGCACCTGCAATAATCGAGAAGTAGGTACTTCTGTTCTGTGTCACGAGAGATCGTTCCGTCTGTCTTTGTATTTTTTTAAAAAAATTTATTTAAAAAATTTTTATTTAAAAATATTTTTAAAAAAATTATTTAGAAAATTTATTTTTATATTAATATATCAAAATAATCTAAAAATATAAAAAATTAATTTAAAATTAAAAAATTCAATAAATCTCAAAACTATAATTGAATCATAATATCAAACATTATTATTATTCTAGGCCGTACTACAAGCCCATATTTTTTTTGAAAAAAATAAAAAATATAATTCTGAAAAAAAAAATAACAACACAAAATTATTTTAAAAAATAATAATTAAAAAAATAAAAGTGAAAATAAAATAGAGGGAAACTAATTTTTTTGTAATTAAAAAAATAAAAGTAAAAATAAAATAGAGGGAAACTAATTTTTTTCAATAGGGGATAAATTATAAAAAAAAAAAACATAAAACTAGAAAAAAAGAGAAAGAATCAAATTGAAAACACTAACATACAATTAACTTAGATTGAAAAATATATTGAAAGTCAATAATTTTTTTATAAAAATGTCAAAAAAATTAAAAATTAAAATAATAAGGGTCAAACTGAAAAAATAATATATGACAAATTAGAATTCAAGGATTAAATTTAAAAGAAATAAAAATTTTACAAAATAGCCAAGAATAAAATAAAAAAATAAAAGAAAAGAGATATAAAATTTTAATTAGAGGGTTAAATTGATAAGAAAAATAACTCCATAAAAAAAATAAAAGAATGAAGATCAAATTGAAAATAATAACATACTATAAATTTGGATTGAATAACAGAATTGAAGACCAATAAAATTTTATAAAAAAGTAAAGAAAAAACACAAGAAATAAAAAAGACAAGAACTAAATTTAAAAATAATATATATATATATATATATATAGAATAATTTGAAAAAAAAACATTTACAAAAACTCAATAATAAAATTAGAAACTAAAACAAAGAAGGTAGAAGTAGAAATGTTAAGAAAAAAGAAGACCAATATGCAATTAAAAGGGAGAGAGAGAGAAAAATAGCTGATGATAAACCATTTATCCATCATTGATATACATCATTTTATAAAAAAAAATATAATAATATATAATAAAATAGCATGTATTACCATATAAAAACATCATATACATTAATTGAAATACTGATGATAAACCATTTATCCATCATTAATATACATCATTTTATAAAAACATCATATACATTAATTGAAATGCATGGATACTTTTTACGTGTTAGTATTTACAATGCACGTGTCATTAGATTTTTTTAAATATAATATTATTTTATTTATATTAAAATATCATAATACTCTTAATAAAACAATAAAAAACAAAAAAGAAATCAACTTGAATATAATGTTATATTTTTTATCTATCTTTTTACTATCAATTCTTAGTCAGATTGATAAAAATATACTTAGGTGAGAATCCCTATGAATAATTTTTTATCTTAAAATTTTGTCAAACTTTTTTTTTATCCTTTTAGTTTAAAAATTATTTGTTTTAATCTAAAACATTATTCATTTTACATATTAGTTCTTAAGTTTGAGAGAAAAAAAGAGAAAAACATAAAAAAGAATGGATTAAAAAAAATTACTGAGTTAATCATATTTCAGAAACTAAAATAGCATATTTTAATGTTAATGAGTTTTATTTAATAAAAAAATTCATTAATAATAGATTTTTTTTCCTCTAAGTAATAGTTACAAATTACCATTTACAAAGGCTTTTTAGTCAATAAATGAAAAATAATTAAAGTTTGATAGTAAATTTGTAATATTAATATTGTAAGGGCTTTATAGTATTTTAATAAAAAATATTGATAATCTTGTAAATAATTAAATACTTTTTGTTGATTTTTTTTAGAAGAATGTCAAGTATTAGCTTGTATATAAAGTTTAAGATGTAAATGGTAATTTTTTAAAATCATAACGAGTAATTGTAATAGCAATTTAAACCAAAGTACAAGATGTTTTTAATTTTTTCTTCCATATATATGTTTGAGAAAGTATATTGGAGTTTATTTAGATTTTTTTGCTTCAATTGATTTTTGGTTTTTTAAGTGTTTTGGGGTTAATAAGTTATTTTTGAAGATTTTTATGGTTTTTTTCAAGTTAAAACAACTTATAAATTGACTTCTTAACTTGGACTTTAATTTCTTTATTTATAAAAAGCCAAAACAATAGGCGATTACCTACCATTGAAAATGATTTAATACCTATTAGAAAAAATAAAAACAAAACTACAAAAATTTGGCACAAGCATAGGCTTTTTAATAAATAAGCCATATAGGCCTGGCATGCTTTTTAATAAATTTGGCATAAGGTAGGCCTAAACACTTAAGTCATTTTTTTAAGAGCCATATCTAAAATATATGGTTGACTTAGTTTTGTTTTTAATTTGATTTTTTAAAATAAATTAATTTAAATTATTATAAGTATACAAATTTATTAAATTTATTAAATTAATTAGGAATATATTTTAGATATTAGTTAATTAAGATTTTTATTCAAATAATCAAATTAATAGTAAAAAACAAATCTTGGTTTCTTCAAGATAAAAAAAAATGCATAAAAAAAAATTGAGTAAAATATATAATTTTTAGTTAAGAGTCTTGTCAAAAAATCATCTCAACCCAATAGTTTAAACTGTTAAGTAAGATCTAATATATGATTTATATTATTTTTTAATATACTCTTTCAAATGAAAGTTTTTTAAACTTGAAACTTGTACAGACTCATATTATTTCGTGCTTAATTTTTTTATCAAATAAATAAGGATTGTGAGATTAAAATTTGTGAATGCTTTGTTATTAAAGCTCTAATATGATGTCAAAGATAAATAAATGAGGATTGTGAGATTAAAATTTATGAATGCTTGGTTATTAAAGCTCTAATATGATGTCAAAGAACTATTTCAATCTAATAATTTAAGCTGTTAGGTAAAGTTCAAGATATAATTTATTTTATTTTCTAATAAATTTAAATTATTAAAATTCTTATAAGTTACAAGATTAAATTACTATAGGTTATGAGAATAGCCTTGACATCCCGTGGGGAAAAAAAACTAGATTAGACCTAAAATAAAAATACCCCTTCCCTGGGGTGATTTGTTTAGTTTTGGGTTGCATGCAGGTGTTAGTAACTGCGTCTTTTCCGGAATTTATTAGATACTTGGCGTGGGGTCAAAAGAGTTGCTAAAATAGAGATTTTTTTTTAAAAAAATTATAATGAAATTAAA